ATAAATGATTCAGTGATTCACTCATTAACACAAACAATCAAATGCTTTGTTTCTGAATGAATCAGTCGTTTGAATGAATCGGTTGAATCTCAATGACTCACTCATTAACAGTCACTTGCTGTCGCCTACTGGCGGTTTTAATTTCACATTTCGACTATTTTTTCATGTTTTAAATTATTTCAAATATCAGTATTCAACGTTTTATGTTCAAAACAAAACATTATTTATGCATCTGTAACTGCAGGTTAAATGCATCCATGTCCCCTCTGAGATACATTAAACTGTGTAAATACATCTAAATGCTATTTCAGATGCAGATTCCAGAAATGATTTCTTATGTTGGAATGAAAGACAATATAAGTACCGGATGAAGTGTTTCTTATTCATTCTTATTCACTCTTAAATATCACATACTTTAAAACTTTTACTCAAATAATATTCTAAACGGTGACTTCAACTTCTACCAAAGTCATTTTCTGGTAAGATATCTGTACTTTTACTTGAGTATGGTTTTCAGGTACTTTATACACCAGTTTTTCACTCTGCAGTTTCCCACTGGTTTTTATTGTATCATAACACCGGTTACAGAGGAATACAACACTATGTGTTATTCGCAGCATAAAATACTTGTTCACTTAGCTTGCAATAATTTGTTAGTAAATTAGTTATCATCACTGGTTGTGCATTATAATCGTGCTGCAGTACCGCTAGCAGCCAATCGGGGCGCTATACCCAGATATTCTCTCTTTCGCATACTGTAGGGTTTTGTATTTTCCTCCCACTCGTTAGCGTGTGCCATGTTTGCGGAAGTTGAATCGATTACTCTGTCATTTGAACGAAATGTAGCAAATAATCTTCACGTTTAAACAAATACATTTGCAGATTATTTTGTTTGTGGCCCGTCCTAAAAGAATGATGACCTTACCAAAGGGACCCGATTCTTTGTGTTTCGACAAAGACGAATTTATGAAGGTGAGTGAGCTGTTAGTAATATCTGAACTGAAGTAACAACTGAAAAGAGCTGTATTCAGCTGTGCAGTAACTATCTTGATTAAACAGTTGTTTATATCTAGTTTGTGTGTTTTATTTATATTTTAAGTAACGTTACTGTCTGAGCAAGTGTTTTTAACGGTGTTTAGATTAACTTTACTGACGTTATGTTTGGGACCCTAGAGACCCCAATGATGTACAGTTACAAATGATAATAGTAATTAGAAAATCAATCTATGGTTCCTTTCATGTGCTTTTAATATGTTCATTTGATTAAGACAAAACCTATTGGACATTAACTATTAAAGTTTTAACCGTCACAAATCCATGTTCTAAAAATGTGACTGTTACTTTAATGTAGTTTTTGAACGGATCAAATCATACTGTAACGTTAGATAAAAAAAAAAAAACCGCAATTGAAAAAAAGGAGTGAACTTTCTCAACCAGTAAACCTTATCATTTGGGGTCTCAAAGACCATCAGACATACACAATATGACATTTTACATGGAAGACAATTGGAGAATGTAATCAATTTGAAATTATGTTCATAATCAGTTATCATGTGATTATGAAATGTCAGCTTGATACTTAGCTTTGAAATTTATTTTAAATGGCCGCAGGGTCTCTCAGCCCCAAAACAGGACAGAGTGTTAATGGAAGTTCAGACTGTTTGTAAGGATGTTTTTAATATTCTCTTTAAAAGCGTCCCTTGACTGTTTTCCAGTTTCTTAGTGTGCTTGTCATTATTTCACACCTTTCTGTCTCGGGGCATTTTGATTTGTAATATTTGTACATTTCCATGCAGGATGACTTCGACGTGGACAAATTTGTGGCCGATTGCAGAAAACGTGTCCAGCTGGAGGAGATGCGTGAAGATCTGGAGCAATATTACAGACTTCTCAAAACAGCCATGGTCGAGCTCATCAATAAAGACTATGCAGATTTCGTTAACCTGTCCACAAATCTTGTGAGTCTTTGCATTTTTAGAACATCATACAACATTTTCAGTAGAGCTGGTGTGTCACCGAAGACCGTGTGCTTTGTTTTATTCTAGAGCATCCTGATTTTTGTCATATGCTTTGTAGGCTTATTGTTTGTATCTGTGTTTTAGGTTGGAATGGATAAAGCCCTTAATCAGCTCTCTGTCCCTCTTGGCCAGTTACGCGAAGAGGTGCTGGTAAGTGCTTAACACATCAGTGAATACCATATTTGGCTATATTTTAGTCATTATCTAAGTATCTTCCTCTCATGTACAGAGTTTGAGATCCTCCGTGAATGCAGTTATTGAAGCTATAGAAACCCAGCTATCCAAGCAAGATGATATAAAAAAAAAGAAGGTAAATTATGGTGTTAAAACTTAAAATGCTATGTTACAAGTATGGCTGACTCAACTAAAGATTTTTCTGGTCGACTAGTAGTCGTTCATTTGAAGCATTAGGCGACTAATCGCACGTTTATTAATAAACAATTTAAATTATAACTGATTTTATATATATATATATATATA